ACGGTCTTTACATGAAGTATAATCATTAGAGGTTATTGAAGTTGGAGAAACAATAGTTTCATAGACTACTGTAGCATGCAAATTAGTTTGGTTAAAGAATTATTGTAGAGGTAAATTGGATTCTATTTGTTGGCTATTAGAAGATGTAGTCGTGTTCGATTGGTCAGGCATGGTGGCTGGGTTAATATCATGCGCATTTACCTGACATGTCAGCTGGTGGGCAATTAATGTGTGTGTGTGTGTGTGTTGTTTTTTGACAGAAGGGTATCTTGTGTGGATATAGTAACAGGGCTATGGTAAGAATTATTTTTTATGACAGAATTAGCATGATAATTTAGCCCATTAGGCCCATCAGAATAAGCCTCAGAATTGCAAAAGTTTGTAGTGGCATCATGAGTACTGATAGGTGAAAGAGTCGTATTGGACTTGTTGGAAGTTAATGGTGGACTAGTATTAGAAATTTCATTTTTAACTAAAGTAGTTTCCATGTCATCCGAAATATATTGAAATTGGTTAGAACTTTAATTGAGCTGGGTAATTATGTCGTTGGAGTAACAGTTAGTTTGGGCCTTGTTTAGCCCATTAGGTATAGAAAACTTACCTCCTACCACCGGCATTGTGCTAGGTTCCGCCTCCCTTGGATTCCTCATGGTTGAGCTTCCATGTTTTTGTAGACGGTTATTATTCCTCTTTGAAAAAGTAATTGTTTGCCACTCTGTTGATTGAGGTTTGATAGTAGGGGTTGATGTAGATTGAGGTTTGATAGTAGGGGTTGATGTAGAAGGAGAAAGTGAGGTGTTAGTGATGAAAGAGGAGCTGGTTGTTTGCTTTTGGAAAGAACAGTATATTAATGCATGGCCAAACCTTCCACATGCAGTACAAAGTAGATTAAGTCCTTCATAATGGATGTTTTGTTTGTGATTGCCAATATGAAAATGTGTTTTGAGAGGTTTTTCTAGCAGTACCTCAATGCAAATTCGTGTATACCTGCCCCTAGAAGTAGTTGTTGTGCAAGTACCAACCTTTAGCAATTTACCCAATTTTGCTCCGACTCGTTATATAATTTCCATATCATAAAACTCAGTAAGGAGTTCAGGAAGACGTACCCATATAGCAGAGTACGTTAGTTGAGTGTTAGAGACAATAAATTTAGGTTTCCACTGTCGTACAAAGAGAAAATGGTTTAGAACAAATCAAAGACCCCCATGAAGTGCTTTGTGCAGATTTTCTTCTTTCTGGAATTTGATAAGGAAGAATTCAGACCCAAGGTCAATTAAAGACATTTGTTCAGTAGGTTGCCATAGGGAAATAAGTTTTTGTTTTAGTAGTTGATGACCAAGTTTTTTTCCAAACACTTCAACAATCATAGGGAAATAAGTTTTTGTTTTAGTAGTTGATGACCAAGTTTTTTTCCAAACACTTCAACAATCATAGGGAAATAAGTTTTTGTTTTAGTAGTTGATGACCAAGTTTTTTTCCAAACACTTCAACAATCATAGGGAAATAAGTTTTTGTTTTAGTAGTTGATGACCAAGTTTTTTTCCAAACACTTCAACAATCACTGATAATTTTCAAGGCGTATATAGTCGTGATTTATCATTAATAGATAAAGGAATAAATAAATCTTCTTCAACCTCTGTAGCAGTATTTTCATCAGAGAAATCCACATATGGTTGTTAAGGAAGTTGGCTATCACTATCAGTAAAGGACAGTGATGAGTTGTTTGAGATCAGTGTCTGCAAAAACGTTAACTGTTGGCCTAGGGGATGGGAAGGGTCATCAATCTGCATTTTTCCCTTGGGAAGGTTGCAAAGGAAATTTAAGTGAGTTATGATTCATCAGTGATGTTTTTGAGAACATTAACGAAGAGTAAGGAGTAGCGTGATAGTAGAATTATTTAGAAAGAGAAGATCTTACATCTCTCTAACTTTTTTTTCTGCCTGTCCATTTCCACTCTCTTCCTTTCCTTGAGTGAGTAATTGGAGTTGATGCAGAAGTTGCAATTAATTAATGTATAGCCTAGCGCCTGCTGGGTCCCATGGAGTTTGGGGAATAGATGATTATCACTTTTTACCTTTATATACTTGGGTCATCACAAGGCAGATTTACATTTTTTAAGTCAATTCATGAGGGGACTTTTATAAATTAGAGCTAACTCAGGGAGAGGTCTTAAAAGTTTTATTTTTTTAATTTAATATACTTTCTGTTGCATTTTTCAATTTAATAAATTTCAGTGGGTCCAAATTTTATTTTTATACTCTATAATTTATCCGTCTAAATCATTAACAAAAACATATTACGGATTAAACATCATGTACTATATCCTACTAATATAAGATTAATATTTTTCCCTTCAATTTCCGAATTTCCCATGCTCGCCAATTTTCATGTAAGTCTTTTCATATAGTAAGTTTGATGGTGTTTACCATTTCGTGTTATGGACCTTTGGATTGTCTGAGAAGCAACAATTGTCTAATACTAGTACTCCACATGATATTCTATACATTAAAGAAAAGGAGCAACAATTTTGCATTTGCAGATATTGCTAAATTCTTACTTTACTCCTTGTAAAATTCGACCACACACATTAACCCCCGAATTACTTGAAAAGAGTGATTTTAGTCCCCTGATAAACTTTCTGCTATCACATAAATTTGATGGTTAGAGAATGTATTTTTGTTATAAAATAAGAACGTTAAAGAAATACTATAGAAAATGCATGAAAATGATAATATTCGTATTAATAATTAACTAACTCAGCAAAGGATCCTCTCAAAATCATATGTGAAAACATAATGCACGAAAGCAAACAAACAAGATGTTTCACAAGGTTAAAATATAACAGTGCAAATAACAAGGAAATAGTGATAAATGACGACAAAGGAAACTTAGGGAAGAATAAGCATCCAAGAGGAAGATTAAGTTCATTGAATACCTTCTAAGTCAATAGAGGGTTTTGATCATGTCTTAACGTTGAGAAAGATCACCGGCAACTTGGCTGTTAGTATGTTTCGCTGCTAATGCGTGAATTCTGAATTAATATTCACAAGTAAGAAGAAAATTGAAATTTTAGTAGTAAACTTTTGGGTAAATATGGTCATTGAAAATAATAGTAAAGTCGCGTAAAGCTTTCTATGTAAACCAAAAAATATAATAATAAAGATGAAGTAAGCTTTCATGTGACAGTCTAATAGCCATGAATAATTTAAAAAAATTAAAAGACAAAAAAATAATCTAAATTGCTAAAAAATGAGTATTTCAAGATCTACGACAAAAATCTAACGATGATGTAAGCAGACAAATAATTAAAGGATAACTTCTGAACCTTCTTCTGTGCGGCAATGGTGTTTGAGCAACATAACAAATTAAATACCTTTATTTTATTGAAAATAGAGTGTGTAATGTGGAAATAAAAACGTTTAATCAATTTCAACAAGAATACTGTTTCACCAAAGTCATTCTAATTCAAAGTCCTTATCATTTATACCTTTCGTAATCAGAGACTTACGTGGAGTGGGGTGGGGTACATGCACCCATGCTCCCCTCCCTAGGCTATGTATAAAATACTAATATTTTCAATTATTTGCTGAAATATATTTGTGGCCACTCACACTCAAGTGATTGGCTTGGTGCATTGGTGACTAAGTATCCCTTTTATCTCCTTTTTGTCCCCAAGTAGGGGTTCGATCCCCATACAATATTTTTTAATTAATTTCTTTTATAATTAATTACAATAAATAAATTACCAATTTTTCACAACCTTTTCAATTAACAACATATATCCCTATGCCTTTTCTTTCTTTTCAATTAACAAATAAATACATTTTTTTATTACTTTTTTACAAAAAATTCACTTTTGCCTATGTCTTTTTTATTTTCTCTGTTATTCATTCTTTTGAGTACAAAAACTTTGAAATACCTAAAAACAAAGTACTCATGACTCATCTCTCTAGGCTCTGAGGCTTTCAGTAGATTCAAAGCAAGAAAACCCCTGCTCAATATTAAGCGATGCTTTTAAAAACTTTTTTGAATAATTGTTTAGTTTGCTATATAGAGCATGAAATATTTAAAACTGTAAGTAATAATGTTATTATTGATCATTTTCAATAAAAACTCGTCCAGGACAATTGTAAAGTAAATGATATTTTTTGCGAATATAGTATTAGTATAGTTTGCACGTCAACTTGCTGTCATCATAAAATTTTATATAATAAAACCAAATATTTATCTTTAAAGTAATAGTGCACCCATGATATTAAAATCCTGGATACGCCTCTGCATCTCATAATTGTAGTGAAGTTGAATTCCTGCCCTAGATAATTGAATTCATGCCCTAAAATATAACAAAATTAAGAATCTTTTAAAATCTTTATAATTTGCATACATATTTTTTAAATATTAGAGGATAAAAAGACGTACGATATTTCGTTAAGGCTTTCATGCTTTTAATATAGTATAGATTAGATGACATATTGGCACTGTTTTGGCTATTGTTGAGAAAATTGGATTTAGGGTTTAGGGTTATTAGCCGTCTATTTTGGTTGTTATTGAGAAAATTGGTGGAGTCAATTAATTAAAGGTTAAACGTACTCAAATATAGATATCACAAGGACCAAAAGTAAAAACTTAGCAATAACTAAAAGTATAATTTCTTCCAAAGAATGAGGATTTTGGAGTATAATGGCCTAACACATCTAATTTTAATAATTAATGTATATTACTTTAAAAACAGAATTTACATGTTCAGAACGAGGAAAAAAACAGTTACTACATAATTTTTTAAAAACATAAATATTTAAAGAATACTAGTACTAGTACTAGTAGCTAAATACTAGTACTAGTACTAGTAGCTAAATACTAGCAGTCTCATTTTTTTTGTGAAATAAATTTCAAAATCAGAATATTAGTGGGACAGGAAAAATTTAAATTTTGTGGTGCAGCTATTTTCAGCCACCTGTTTTTAAAATTGAGATGTCCATAGTAAAGTAGTTTTACAAGCAAAATTTTGCAGCCTCATAAGTCATACCTAATGGCCTTACACAACCATGGCTTTGAATTTCAGCTCTGTTCAGCCTCTGCAACCAAAACATCTCTGCTTTCTCATTCCTACCCATAAAAATGATCCCCTGAAGCTGTATCAGTCTCAAACTTTGCTATCTTCTTCCTTGAGAAGAGCTGCTCTTTCTGAAGAGAGAGATGGAAATGTCACTGAGGAGGAGCTTCCCACTTACTCTGGTGTGCTTAGACTTCACTATTTATTCTTTTTTTTTCATTTCTTCATGTATTATTTGATTTAAAAATCATATTGTAAAGCACTGCTAGTCTTTAAGGCATCTGAGTTCTGAAAGTTTTTGTCACAATCTAGAAGATGGAGATAAACTGACCTCTCTGATTGATTGTTGATTGTTACCCTAGTGGAGAATTAAAAGAAGAATCAGCATTAAACCTCTGCCTGATTAATATTAATTTTTAAGTTAATCATAGGGTGTTCAATTTCATGTTTCCATTTGATATATGACAGCATGAGCTGCATTTGTTCTGTTTGTTGTTGAACTTTTGCTGATTTTGTTTTGATTTAGGGTCATTATCTTCTGCTCGAACGCAGCTAGATCTCTTGGATCAGCTTACTTCCAGCAGCTCAGCAGTTAATGGTATATGTTCTCCCCTTTGGTTCTGTCTTTTTCTTGATTAGTATTGTGAGAATTTCATCAAACTGCTCTAAGAAAGTACAAAAATCAGAATTTGCATCATTTACGAAAGTCAACTTTAGGCCAGGAATTTAACATCATGCATCCATCTATTAAGCAAAAGCATCTAGACTATGATCATCGAAGCATCTTCCGGGCCATATGGAGGTGCTTTTGTACCTATCCTTGACGGACCTTGGTATTTCTGACTGTACTCCTAATGTGTTAACGAACATACTCCAGACTTCCCAGATATATATACTATGTAGCAGTTAATAATTTGGGAATTCTACATCCTCCATACACATAGGGCTCTAGTTGCACAATCTGTAGTCTTCTTTATGCAAGTTATACTGTGTGAGACAGCTTCATGTAGAATCCGTTAAGCATTCTGCTCTAGAGGGGATTCAGTTCTCTGTATCATCTTCTATGACCATTCATTATCCCTTCCATTTAGTCAAAAAGTTATAGCAAGATTTCAAGTAAACCTGCCCATCTTTGCTTACTTTCGCCTTTCCTTATCGAGAGCTGAGTTACGCTTTAGTTATTCTTGACCATCGTTGACTTGATCCTTGGCCAGGTTATGAAAGTGATAGTAGCTCTAGTAAACCTACAATTCGTGCTCAGCTCGCTAAGTTGGTTGGAGATCGAGATGATGACTTCAGCATTCCCTTGGGTAAGAATCTTAAGAAGGTCAGCGCCAAGTTCTTAACTGTTTCACAAAAGAGAAACATCAAAAGACAAGCCTACTTGAATGAAGTTTCTCAGAGGAATGACTCAGTATTCTTTGCTACAATTGGAGCATTCGTCATCCTTCCACCCCTTGTCATTTTAGGAATTGCAATTGCGACAGGTTATGTGCAGCTATTTCCATGACTTGTATAAATACTTTGTATAAAGATCCACTGTTTCTGTTGCTAATATAGTGAAACTATATAAATTTGTGAAAGTCCTGCTAATTCTCGAGATGAATGGTCATTTGGAGTTGTACATTAACAGATTATTGCTAGTAAAAGGTGATCGAATGGGCACTCTTCTCTCGCTTGAGTGTCTTTCGTTGTAGGTCTCACCGCAAGACCTAGAGTTGGTTAGAACTAGCTACATATGTTGTGATGGAGTTGGATATGCTTAACTTATTGAAATGTAAAAAGGCGGATATAGATACAAAATTTATACTACAAATGTAAAAGGCGGACACAAGATTCCTCATATTAATTGCTGTATACGATGCTCTACACTGATTGTACTACACAAAACTCTCATATTTGTTTGTGAAATTGTAACAAAATTGGAAAGAATTTAATGTTAGTAAAAAAACAAAAGAATTTAATGTTAGTAAAAGGCAAATTATTTGTTTGTCTGAAGTCTTAACATGGCTCTGGTGATGGCATGGATGACAATTCATTTTTCTCGTTAGTTGGAGATGTTTCTTGATCCGTTGGTCGTACTGAATCATTGCCTACGGTCACTCCTGATTGCTTGATATAGTGCCATTTTTCTTGGAGTAGATAGATGAACGCGATAACAGCGACCTCAGCACTGAAAAGCCAGTTCCAAACACTGATGCTTTTCATTGTTTTCATGTGATAGGCCTGTAATCCTGTATATATGTTGACAATTCCCAGTAAAGTAACTGTGATTCCAATGAGCCAGTGGAAACAAAACCATGCACCCCTTCTTTTGCTTCCCCTGCAAAGGAAGAACAAGAAACAGTACTAATTAACTACACCCATATTCTTTCCCACATAAAGCTTTTATTCAATTGAATGAAGAGAAAATTTCATGGTGAAATCATGGTATGCTTTACTTGTCAGGCCGAAAAATCCCAGCGACTATTGGCAGCCATATGGCAACATATAGAGCTAAGCCAATCCGTTGGTGAGTATTGTCGAAAAAGTTCTCAAAGTTTATTACTGACAAAGTTGTTGCTGTTATTACGAGGATAACAGATAATATCTGCCAAATAAGAAGAAATATTGATGTGAATTTTATGCACTACATAATTATGTAAATGTATGTGGACTTTCTAAATAGAACTATAGAAGTAGTCAGCTGTCAAGTATCATATGTCAAAACAAACGGTTATAACTAACATCATAATTAACTTGAATTGTGCTCATTTCTAAATAATAAACTGATAGAGCTATTTGTAGTACTCAAATAAGAGAGTTTATTAATCCTGTCTTTCCTTTCCCATCAAGCATTCATCCCTGCTACCAACTTGAGGATGAATGGAGGTTAACTTACAATTACTTAATGACAAACTATGGGCTAGTTTAATTATTAGCAAATCTGTAATCATAGCTGTGACTCTCTTTCAGTATCATTACAGGTGAAAAGTGGGGTACTTTTATCCTATAAACAAGGTTCAAATTTGTAATAATAACTCAGTAACTGTTGAGATACTGATGCTTATGCCAAAGAAAAGAACAGTATACCCTTCATTGACTGAATGAAGTTTATGGCCTTTTCTATGTTCTCAGTGAAACAAAAGTTAAAGGGATTTTACCTGTAAAGAAGCATGAGTATAGAAAATAAGCTTTAGCCTTCTTCCACATTTCTGTCTATTTGACATTCTCATTACAAGAATCGCGATAGGCATCAAGAAACCCATAGAAACCCATAGCAGAAATCCATGCAGGATAATTTGAAATGACAGCTTTGGGCTTAACTGAAATTTGAGATAGATAATTAGTTGCTGCCCTACAAATATATGGGAAATTACAGAACAATAGCTAGAAATTGTCTACTGAGATGGTTCGATCAAGTTTACTTTTTCATAATACCTTTTCATAGGAAAAGATAAAATTGAATGATAGAGAATAGGAGATGTAAATGTGAATAACCTCAAGGACTTTGTGATGACTGGATTCATGAATAATCCTTTTTGTGTGCTTTTGAGTTGAACTGACTGATGGTAGAAGAGCAAAAATGAGAATCGCCGCGTGAACTATCAGCTTCTGCATGGGCAGTATGGTGTTTCTACTCATACTCCTATGTTTCTAATGCTACAAAACTTTGTGTTGATGAAGAGAGGAAGGAACTGAGAAGAAAAAGAGGCTTGTTATAACCAGTAGGCTCAGGTACATTGCTTTCTCTTCAACTGCAATGGTCAATTGAACTTTATCATAAACTAAACAACACTTTGTCTAAAGAGTAAAGACATTGTAGAAAAACAAATATTTCCTTTCTAAGCAGTGTTATCCTCAACTCTAAAAAGAAGCCCAAGTGAAATGCTCTTTTGACAAATTCACAATGTTTGCCATAGTGTTTTATAGTGCATATTTTTATATTGAGGAAAAGAAAGTAGGGAAATGGAAGTTAGGCTGTGATTTCAACCTGGTGGGGACTCTATGACAGGCTTTTCCTTTTAATGGAGAGAATGTGGGATTTCAGAGCAGAAGATAGCCAGAGTGGGAGGACAAATTTCAAAAAAAAATATCAAGTATAGTTGACAAAATATATGTACAATTTTAGTCTATACTTACCCACTACTGAGCAGGAGCATGGTCACTAGGATTAGTAAGCATTTTTCTATGTTGGGTAGTTGCTTTTGGAAATGCACAAAACTTGAACCATTAGACAGTTAACAGTTAGTATTTGTTAAGTTGGTAAACCACAAATATTATTCTGTTCCGAAATAAATTTTCTGAACTTGCTAATTCAGCAATGCACATAATACGTAATTTATTTATCAGCCATTTATAGACTTTTTGCGGGCCAAAGACACTTACATCGTGTGAGAATTTAAAAGAACAAAAGTATAAGACAGGTGGACCATGACATGCAACTTTATGCAGTAAATTTTACAAATGTGATTGCTGAATAGCTTTATTGTTATGGCCCCTCCACTATCATATACTTGAAATCAATTTCTGTATCTAATCATGACAGTTTTGGCCTACTTACGTGCTTCATATATCTTGGAAGTATTAGCCTTGGACCACAGCTATCAGCTAATAACTTGTATTAATTTGCTACATCCTTTTGAGACTCTGCTTCTTGTTACTGGTCTTTAGAAAATCAGAATCCTTCTAACTAACAATGTACTGTAGTTTATAGTAAGTAGTGAGTGTTCAAGTTTGCAATTTTGGGTTAGAATATGAAGTGACTAGGAGGTCCCTATAGAGCAGGAGTTGGCACATGGGAGCCAATGATGCCAATTTACCCAAAGTTGTTAATATGTCACATGTAATCCAAGCACAACCTTCCACCTTGGTATGATAACTTAAAAAACAAATTGCAATCAAAAGCTTAGGTAGTTTCTCAACTTAATAAGATTAGTAATTGAGAAGTAGTTAAGGGTCTGGTCTAATGGTCAATGATGTTAGAATGGATCATGTGAGATTAAGGTTCAGATTTAGGTAAGACAAATAATATGAGGTAATTTCTGCTAATCTATCTAAATCGTGATAGATAGAATTACTTGATACTTACGCTTAATAAATAGAGACGGACCTACTACTAATATTGAGGGATTACCGGATCACGTGAACTTCAATGTAAATCTTGTAAATATAGTATGTATAAATAACTTGGCACCCTGAACACTAAAAGCCTTTAGGGGCACTAGTTGAGCAGTTTGCTCCAATTTCGTTACCCAGTATGTTAACCACAAAAAAAAATATAATAGTTCCCGTCGCATTAAAATCCTGGATCCGCCTGTGAGTAACTGGATGATTAGTCGAGTTGTATGCAATTGTCTCGACACAACCGTTATTAAAGAAAAAGTAATTGGATAAAGCAAAATTATCTTAAGTATAGTGAATTAACAAATAGGTCAATCAAACCTTGGAAAGGAAGAAAGCAGTTGATTAACATGAATAATAGAACCTTTGATTCCCAAAGTCGAAAGCGCCTTTGATTGCGACCAATAATCAAGTACGTAATGGAGAAAAATCATAGTCTCGTTAACAAAGTTCCATAGGTAAAAAGAACGCTTGCTTTAACCGCCAGTGCAATGACTTTCCTTTTTGGTAGTGAAGAGAAGGTACCACAGTTTGCACATTCTAGACCTAAAAGTTTGTAAATGCATTCATAGGATAAATATGACAAATCAAAATATCATATCAATTTTGTGAATGAGAAGAGAAGTTAATCATTACCCTTAACCAAAAGATATCATTGCAAGTTAGAGAGAGCTTCAACCACTTTAATTTGTAGCATCAATTACGTCCAATTACACTTAAACATTAGTTAGACGATTGTTTTACCGAAGTTCGTGGTGTCAATGTGGTATTGAACATGAAATTCATTAATTTTAGTACATTTTATGAGCATGCTGGTTACGTTCTTGGCTTTGATTCATCTTAACTATATGCATTAGAGAAATTCAATAACTTGCATTGCTCTGATACATTTTACTATATGTATCTCTCCCAACTGCTACCAATAAAATATTCTATTTCACATCAATCATAAGCGAATGATATTTTCATCGAGAATACTTGAAAAAAAAATATGAAATATGATTACATTAGATATGAAAAAGACAAGCAAAAAATACTTTTTGGAAACGAAATTAAACGAATAATTGGTGTTCTATAAAATGGAGAACAAAAAAGAAATTAAAATCGAAAACAGTAAGCAAAAAACATGGGTGCCTAATTCAAACAATTCATATTCTGGAAGAAAAAAAACACAAATAATTGAGATAGAAACAGGAACACAGGTGCCTAATCCCTTTTTGGACTTAATTTATCATAGTATCTTTTTTAAATTTCATAAAAGGGTTCAAAATGCCCCTAAACTATTGGAAAAGGTTTAAAAATACCCTTCATCCACCTATTGGGCTAAAAATATCCCTCCATCTACCTTTTTGGTTCACTTATGCCCTTTGATCGGTAGGTCAATACTGAATAAAAATAATTACTTAAAAAAAATAATTTGCAAAATTTTTTTATTTTTTTAAACTAATGCATCAATAGTCCTCCACTAATTTAGTAAAGTCTTCTCCTTCTTTTTTTTTCAGTTTTTACGAAAAACATTCAGTTTTTACAAAAAAAAAAAAAGAAACATTTTTTTCACTTTAATTAAAGCTTTTTTTTGTTGGTAAAAACAGAAAAATATGAAAAAACAGAAAAAAATTGTTTTTAATAAAATATTTTCGCTTTTTAAAAACTGAAAAAAATATTTTCAACAAAATATTTTCGTTTTTTGAAAAATATTTTTTTTTCAGTTTTTTTAAAGCATTTTTTTTGTAAAAACTGGAATAACATATTTGTAAAAACGGAAAAAGAATTGTAAAAACTGAAAAAATATTTTCGTTTTTAACAAAATATTTTTAAAAAAAATTGAAAAGATGAAAAAAATAATATTTTTCAAAAACGAAAATATTTTTGTTGAAAATATTTTTTTCAGTTTTTAAAAAACGAATTTTTTTTTTAAAACAATTTTTTTCTGTTTTTATAATTTTTTCCAGTTTTTACATAAAAAATGCTTTAAAAAACTAAAAAATGAATTTTTTTTTTTGTAAAAACTGGATTATTTTTTGTAAAAACTGAAAAAAAAAAGAAGAAGAAGACTTTACTAAATTAGTGGACTACTGGTGCATTGGTTTTAAAAAACGAAAATATTTTGCAAAATATTTTCTTTAAGTAATTATATTTAATTCAGCATTGACCTAACGGTCAAGGGGCATAAGTGAAACCAAAAAGGTAGATGGAGGGATATTTTTAGCCCAATAGGTGAATAAAGGGTATTTTAAAACTTTTTCCAATAGTTTAGGGGCATTTTGAACCCTTTTCCATTTAAATTTTTATGCATTAATTTAGTAGTTAGAAAACTAAGGCTACAAGAGCTGACGAAAAAGTGGATTACCCTGTATTATACGAGTGAGGATGTCAAAATTAACTAAAGACATATCACAGGTTCAATTTGTCCAAAATTTAACGAGTCGGGCAATATGTAGTTTATTGGTGGGCTGATTTGGGCAATGCCCAAAGCAACCCGTCAAGAAATATATTGACTCGTACAAATGCCGAGAAAGTCAATTTCATAAAATCAATGCTTTTTATAGTATGAGATTACAGTTGATCTCTTGCATAACTTTTTGATAAATGTGTGACTATATTTTAAGGAATTCCTAATGTTTGGTCTCCCAAAAAATGTAGGATCCATCCACCATTAGTCCATTTTTCAGACTTACAACCGGTTAACTTAGAGAATTTTTTTTGATTTTTGACTGACAATTAATTATATTTTTATAAATATTATTTTGAGTTAAAAAGAAAAAATAAAACCACCATAATTCAAGGGGTACTTCGGGGGT